ATATATATGATAATATATATATATATATATATATATATATATAGTGTGTGTGATATCTAGAGATAGATAGATGTATCTATAGTGTATGTGTGTGTGTGTGTATATATATATATATATATATATATATATATCTTTGGTTAAAATAACAGTATATGCTGAAGAGTCATTTCTAATTATTGCCTTTGTTTTACAAACTTAGGTCAAGCGAGAATGTCGAGTAAGGCCTTAAGATTCACAACAACGCCTAGGTACAAATTAAGGGCCTCTCCTCACTGAACTTACACAGTCACGGAGTCACAGACTTAGAGTCATGGCTTGGCTGTAACTATGGTTCTCCTTTCTGCTTTCAGGAAAACATTTAATTTCCACCCTGGGCGTGGTCTATGCCTGGCTTCCTTGCAGTGCGCTGTTTCTGTCTGCCTTTTGTCTGTGCGCTGGTGTTGTCAGAGCCAGTAACTATCTGTTTACAGTTTCAGACAGAAGCATTAATTGCCTTTTGAACCTCCCATTTTCCTCCAAGAACTCCCTGCTCAACTGTCTCAACTGTCTCACTGGTGTTTCTTTCTATGTGGAAATGTCTATTTTTTTTCTGTAAAATCTGACCACCTGCAAATCCCTACACATTCTCTTTTGAGCAGGCAACACAAGAGAAAGACATGTGGGTGGCAAATATCTGCACAGAACAGAGCTTACAGGAGGAGTTGCTACAACCCTAAAGCTTCTAGGCCAAACAGCAAGGCAGCTGGGGGTAGCAGAGGGAGCACTAGAATTGGTGGCAGACCAGCATTTGAAATCTGGTTTTGTTACTTACTTGCTCTGTAACCTGGGACAAGTTACTTCATACTGCCGAGCTCAGTCTCCTCATCTATAAAATGGGCACAGACGGGGTGCAGTGGTGTACACCTGTAATTCCAGCACTTTGGGAGGCTGAGGCAGGAGGATCACTTGTGCCCAGGAGTTTGAGACCAGTCTGGGCAACACAGTGAGATCCCATCTCTTATTTCTTTAAAATAAAACAAAAAATAAAATAAAATGGGGCCAGGCATGGTGGCTCACACCTGTAATCCCAGCACTTTGGGAGGCTGAGGCAGGAGGATCACTTGTGCCCAGGAGTTTGAGACCAGTCTGGGCAACACAGTGAGATCCCATCTCTTATTTCTTTAAAATAAAACAAAAAATAAAATAAAATGGGGCCAGGCATGGTGGCTCACACCTGTAATCCCAGCACTTTGGGAGGCTGAGGTGGGCAGATCACAAGGTCAGGAGTTCGAGACAAGGCTGGCCAACATAGTGCACAGTGAAACCCCATGTCTACTAAAAATACAAAAATTAGCCAGGCATGGTGGCATGTGCCTGTAGTCCCAGCTACTTGATTAAAATAACAGTATATGCTGAAGAGTCATTTCTAATTATTACTTTTGTTTTAATAAAATAAAAGACATGTAGGCGGTAAATATCTGCCCAGAACAGAGCTCACAGGAGAATCGCTTCAACCCGGGAGGTGGAGGCTGTGGTGAGCCAAGATCGTGCCATTGCACTCCAGGCTGGGAAACAAGAGCAAAACTTAAAAACAAAAATTAACTGGGCATGGTGGCAGGTACCTGTAATCCCAGCTACTCGGGAGGCTGAGGCAGGAGAATCACTTGAACCTGGGAGGCAGAGATTGCAGTGAGCCGAGATTGTGCCATTGCACTCCAGTGTGGGTGCCAAGAGCGAAACTCTGTCAAAAAAAAACAGAAAGGAAGGAAGGAAGGAGGGAAGGAAGAAAGGATGGAAGGAAGGAAGGAAGGAGAAAGAAAGAGAAAGAAAGAAAGAGAGAAAGAAAGAAAAAGGAAGGAAGGAAAAGAAAGAGAAAGAAAGAAAGAAAAAGAAAGAAAGAAAGAAAGAAAAGAAAGAAAGAAAGAAAGAAAGAAAGAAAGAAAGAAAGAAAGAAAGAAAGAAAGAAAGAAAGAAAGAGAAAGCAAGCAGAAGAGAAGAGAAAAAAGAAAAGAAAAAAGAGAAACAGAAGGAGAGGGGAGGGGAGTGGAGGACTCCTGACCTTAAGGGATCTGCCAACCTTAGCCTCCCAAAGTGCTGGGATTACAGGCATGAACAACCGTGCCTGGCCCAGCTTGATGTTTTAAGAGTCCAGATCCTGGGCAGGGCCTGGTGGCTCACACCTGTAATCCCAGCATTTTGGGAGGCTGAGAAGGGGGGGTCACGAGGTCAGGAGTTTGAGACCAGCCTGACTAACATGGTGAAACTCTGTCTCTACTAAAAATAAAAATAAAAAATAAAAAAATTAGCTGGGCATGGTGGTGTGCACCTGTATCCCAGCTACTCAGGAGGCTGAGGCAGGAGAATCGCATGAACCCAAAAGGCAGAGGTTGCAGTGAGCTGAGATCACACCACTGCACTCCAGCCTGGACTACAGAGTAAGACTCTGTCTCAAAAAAAAAAAAAAAAAAAAAAAAGAATCCAGACCCTAACTACTCTTGGGAGACATGATGGGAATAAGGAAGTGGCAGCTGGGCTTTGGAATCCAAACCCTGGCCCCTCCTGGTCACTCGTGAATCCTGCGTACCAAGGGGAAGGTGGAGAAACCAAGGAGATGTGTCCTGTGGGGGCCTGGAGAGGGGACTCCATGGGCACATCCATCCATCCGTGCTCAGCCATCATTATGTCACCAGAACACTGGTTAACACATGCATGTACACACGCTGTCAGACTCACAGTGAACACATGAGTACACGTGTGCATATGTGTGGCTCCACAAGTACACACCTCCCTCACTCACACACTCACAGGTCCACCACCCTGCATTGAATTCTTGGATTTTGTCAGAACCCCATTAGGGCCAGGTGCAGTGGCTCATGCCTGGTAATTCCAGCACTTTGGGAGGCTCAGGCAGCTGAATCACTTGAGGTCAGAAGTTTGAGACCGGCCTGGCCAACATGGTGAACCTCCCCGGTACTAAAAATACAAAAATTAGCCAGGCGTGGTGACACATGCCTGTAATCCCAGCTACTCAGGAGGCGGAGGCAGGAGAATCGTTTGAACTCAGGAGGTGGAGTTTGCAGTGAGCCGAGATCGCGCCACTGCACTCCCACCTGGGTGACAGAGCGAGACTCTGTCTCAAAAAAAAGAACCTCATTAGGCAGAATAGCTAGGTCAAGTGTATGGACTCTGCTCTTGACTATTGGGTTTGAATCCTGGTTCTGCCAAATACCAGCCGAGTCTTTGGGCAAACCCTCTCATCTTTCGATCTGCAAATGAGAGTAATAACAGCATCTGTTCCTTTGGGTTGCTGTTGGGAGTTTAAAGAATTGTAAGGTGTCTGGACTAGAAATTCTAGCTGGTATGGTTTACATATGAGGTCCCTCACACACACACACAATAGACAGCCTTGAAGTGATGCTATATCCTCTATCCAACAGGTCGGCTTCTCTGGGAAGCAGACTCAGAGATGGAGATTGGTATGTAGAACTTCATCAGGAGGTGGTTGTGGGAGCAACACCCACCGAAGAAAAGGAGGGAAGCTGCACTGAGCAGAGGGAAGGGTGGTGCCGTAATCCAGTCTCAGCAGAGGCCTCGGCCAGCCCCATCAGGAGTTCTGAAGCTGAGATGACCCGTCAGAGTTGTTCTGTGTTGAGATGAGGGGGCAGATCATTTACACCTGTGCCGACCAGTCCACGGATATGAGCTGCGCTGGGAAGGGGCTATGACCTCGGAATGATGATTCCCTTCAGCGTGGCCAAACCACAGAGGGACTCAGCTGTGAGCTGTCAGCAACCAGCACCTCCAGCAGCTAGAGAAATGCATGGATTCTAAAGGACATCAGGCTGGATCCCTTACATTGTACAGCTGGTGGGTGGTGGGAATATTTTTCCTCCTCTCATCTCTGGACTCCAAACAAAGACCCCTGAAAACAGCCAATCAAAGAACAAGGACCTGAACCTTCCCGGACTTGGGCCTCACACCAAGCTGTTTGCTTTTGCTTCTGTATTCCAGGGTACCTTGTTCAAACTTCACCATTTCATGTAGCACATTCCTTGAATAATGATAATAAGTGATGTGGCTGGGTACGGTGGCTTACGCCTGTAATCCCAGCACTTTGAGAGGCCAAGGGGGGTGGATTGCTTGAGGTCAGGATTTCAAGACCAGCTTGGGCGACATGGTAAAACCCCCTCTCTACTAAAAAATACAAAAATTAGCCAGGTGTGGTGGCATATGCCAGTAGTCTCAATTACTCAGGAGGCTGGAGGGGGGATTGCTTGAGCCCAGGAGGTGGAGGTTGCAGTGAGCTGAGATCGTGTTGCTGCACTCCAGCCTGGGCTACAGAATGAGACCCTGTTTAAAAAAAAAAGTGATATATAAACCAAATCTAAGCACTTTGTGGCTGAACGTGGTGGCTCGTGCCTGTAATCCAAGCACTTTAGGAGGCTGAGGTGGGTAGATCATCTGAGGTCAGGAATTCCAGATCAACCTGGCCAACATGGCAAAGCCCTCTACTAAACATACAAAAATTAGCCGGGCATGGTGGCAGGCATCTGTAATCCTAGCTACTCAGGAGGCTGAGGCACAAAAATCACCTGAACCCGGGAGGTGGAGGCTGCAGTGAGCTGAGATTGTGTCACCGCACTCCAGCTTGGGCAACAGAGTGAGACTCTGTCTCACAGAAAATAAAATAAAATTAAATTAAAAAATAAACCAGTTCTATGTACGTTATTTATTTATTTATATTTTGAGATGAACTCTCACTCTGTTGTCCAGGCTGGAGTGCAGTGGCGCAGTCTCAGTGCAATGGTGTGATGATCTCGGCTCACTACAACCTCTACCTCCTGGGTTCAAGTTATTCTCCTATCTCAACTTCCCAAGCGGCTGGGATTATAAGCGCATGCCTCCAGGCCCAGCTAATTTTTGTATTTTTTTTAGTAGAGACGGGGTTTCACCCTGTTGGCCAAGCTGGTCTTGAACTTATGACCTCAAGTGATCCACCAGCCTCAGCCTCCCAAAGTGCTGGGATTACAGTCGTGAGCCACTGGGCCCAGCCTGTTCTAAGTACTTTACATGAATTAACTCATTTAATGCTTACAACAACTCTATCAGGTAAATACAATATTGTTATCTGCACTTTTAGATGAGGAAACTAAGTCACAGAAAGGCTAGGTAATTTGCTTAAAGTCACATAGGTTTGTATGTGGTGAGGCCAGTATTCTAACTCAGAGTTGGTTTCAGAACTCACAGTCTTAACCAGCATGCCCCTGTGATCAGTGGTGAATATTAACATGGATGATGGATATCCATGAGTCAGTGGATGGACGGAAGAATGGATGAATGCGCAGATGGATGGACAGATGGGTGGATGGATGGATGGATGGATGGACGGATACCTACTATCCTGGCCTTCCTGGAATGAATGGATGGATGAACAAATGGATGGATGGATGGATAGATAAATGAATACCTATTATCTGGCCTTCCTGGAATTGTCCATCCTATGAGTTTCCTCTCCATTCTTGGCATAGCAGCATCTGGGTCCACATCAGCAAGGAGCACAGTTCAGCCCTCCTAGTAAAAAGGACAGATCGAGATCCTCACCTCCTGGGGCTCAGACCTTCAGCCAAAAGACGATGGGCCAATGTAACTGAATGAGACCTCACAGGCAATGGCAGAATCCCAGGCTTGCCAGCTCTGTGGCCTGGGAAAAGCCTTCCTTGCTGTGCCGCAGAGACCTCATATGTAAAATGCACTAGCTGGAACTTCTAGTCCAGACACCCTACAATGCTTTTAAGTAGCAGCCGGGCCCGGTGGCTCACGCCTGTAATCCCAGCACTATGGGAGGCCAAGGCAGGTGGGGTCAGGAGTTCGAGACCAGCCTGGCCAACATGGTGAAAATCCATCTCTGCTTAAAATACAAAAATTAGCCAGGCATGGTGGCACATGCCTGTAATCCCAGCTACTCAGAAGGCTGGGGCAGGAGAATCGCTTGAACTCGGGAGACAGAGGTTACAGCGAGCCAAGATCACTCCACTGCACTTCCAACCAGGGCGACAGGGGGAGACTGCTTCCCAAAAAAGAAAGAAAGGGAGAAAGAAGGAAGGAAGGAAGGAAGGAAGGAAGGAAGGAAGGAAGGAAGGAAGGAAGGAAGGAAGGAAGGA